ATTATAATCTTTGTTTTGCTATCAGAGCCTGTTGGTGCTGGGCTTTCCCACTGCAGAGTGAGGTCCACGTAATGGTCTGTTTCACAAGCTTTCACAGGCAGGAACGTGGCTCTTCTGACAGTTAACAGGCCTGGTCCGCACAGCTGTTTCCAAACTGACAGCAATTCCCCTTGCGTATCTCTAGCAATTCAAAAAACTGCTTTTTCCAGTAGATCTATTCATAGCTTGATCAAGACTATTTTTAAAAAAGAAGATGTATTCTTTTTGAAAAATACCGAGAGACAAAGATGGCATACTTAAAGATCATCCAAGCAATTGAGCCTTCTGGAACTTTTTGTTTTGAAACATTTTTGCAACATGCCTTTAGGTGTGGAACTTTAATAGTGTGAAACAAGCTCATGAAATTTAAAATCAGTACGTGTGTCACAAACACTGAATAAAGTGAGTATGTGGAGCATTGTGTAGGACATTTCTTCAAATTCTCTCTTACCCAATGCCTTCTATAAGTGACATGACTGCCATCCTGTGAAACTCTACTCTTTGAAGGCGGGTCATGGATTTGCACCTTTGTATCCTCTGTAGCATAAGCACTCTTCTTTTTAAAGAATAGCACTAAGTGGATATTTGTTGAAATCAATGTTATCAGCAATTTTGCTTTTTATATGGCAGTTCTGCTTCTGCCGATCCCTGTGACCTGGGCTGTCTCCTAAGCACAGGCTGACCCCAGAAGGACATCTCACTGGGGTCCACCATCTTCACAGCATTGTGTGCACTGGAATTCACTGGCTTCCCTCTCCCCATCAGACCACATCTTTCCTGTATCCTGAGCCATCTGAAATAGCTTCTGTGAAGTGCTGATAGAAATACCACCCTGTGAGAATGTGGTGGTTGCTAATGGGTTCATTTTTTTATCCTCCCAGTTAATATAGTTATAATTAGTTAGTTATAATAATGTAGCAACAATAACAATAGCTATTTATTTTTTAAAAAGTGCCTGGCACATAATAGATACACACTAATTATTGACATTATAATTATCAGTGACAATGACCATTGTTATTGGTAATAATAACAAAATGATCATACTGAGCTCATACTGCACTGGGCTTTTTCTGTTTTTCTTGCTTTTTAAGGTATTATCTCAAGGAAGATATTGGAATTATAGTTATTTTGTGTCCCGGGGTTGATTTGGAGTAAACAAATCATTTACTTTCTTTTTTTAAAAAAACAAACTGTGTGTATAGGGGTATGTGTATATGTGTGTGCATGTGTGTGTGTGTGTGTGTACATGCACATGTGTTTCTCTTGATTGCAAAACAATTCCGAATATCTATAGAATGGTGGTTGTGTATGCAGGTTTTGGCATCCAACTGCCTGGGTTCAAATCCAGCTCTGTCACAAGCTAACGTCTATGACTTTAGGCAACTTACTTAACCTCTCTGAATCCTGATTTTCACCTTTGTATAAAGGAATAATTATAGTACCTAACTCAAGTATTATGAAGATTAAATGACATAATGAATGTCATGTCACATAATAGCACACACTAATGTACATTGTTATTTTTTTATTATGACTGTTATTTAGAAAGAACTGAAAAATGCAGAATAGGAAAAAAGAAAATAGTCACATGTCATTTTATAACCACTATTAACATCCCAGACTATATGCTTCTGACCTCTTTCTGTTTGTATGTGTGCTTAAATATATTCAATTTTTATAAAATTAGAAATTATTATATATTACCACTTTATAATTTGCTTTATCAATTTACTTTTCTATGCCTAATATACACTCTTGTATATAGTATTAATAGTTGCATATTAGTTCATTATAAGTGTGTTCTGTAATTTATTCACTGGACATTTAGATTGCTTTGAATTTTTCACTCATGAATAGTAATAATCTGAAATAATCTAGATACCTTCCGGTGTGTATTCAGATTAATTTCTTGGCAAAAATTCATAGAAAATCATTTAATAAGCTACAGAATATAAAAAATTTAATACTTTTAAAATAAATTGTCAAATTGGCTTTTATAAAGACTTTAATTTTATTTTCATCAATAGTATATGAGGCTTCTAGTTTCCAAGTAATTTTCACAAACCTGGGTAATATATATGCATGCATATGTATTTTTTTTATCTTACCCAATCTAATGGCTTCTGTAGGGCAATATGGGGCAAGTCATTTTAAGTCATTTCTGAGGCTCAGATTCCTAACTTTTAAAATTAACTAATGGGTATAGAATTCAGAAATATAGCCATAGGTCATAAGGTTGATACTGATTCCAGAGCCTATCCATGCTCCATATTGGAAGTGTAGCTCAAATGAAAAAGAACTGTGGTGAAGTCAGGTTAACACCAGGTGAGGCTGAAGGGATGACTCTCGGAGAGCATTTCCCTGGTAATGTTGTGACTGTCCAGAAAGTCTCAGTGTTCATCAGACATGCAGATTCTAATTCAGAGGGTGACGTGGATAACATATATAATTAAAATCTATGATTATATTTATTGCCATCTGCCTTGCTATAAAAGACATGCTCCATAAGGACAGGGATCTTTGTCTTGTTCACTGATGTATTCTAAACACCTAGCACAGAGCCTGACAATAGTAGGGGTTCAGTAATAAATATCTATTGAATAAACAAGCTGAATGACTCTACTCTTAACCTGTCCAGAGGCTGCACACCCTGGTAACCAGCAGAATGCCCTCCCCAAGATAAGTGTAGGTGAGCTGCCATGATTGAGGCCTCTTCCCAGAAACCATTGCTGTGTCACATGTCACATGTCACAGGCTTTCTCAGATATGTTAACACTTGCAGCCTCCCCTGCTAGAATCCACACACTTCACAGCAATATTGGGTCTCTGCTCGAACCCATGTTGGTTGTCTTAATAGTTCAACTCATGGGTAGTAGTATCTCCTAGTTCTTAGGGATACTCCATTGCTGCACCTTTGTCCTATATAGAACAACCACCTTATGGACTAGTTAAGGGTATACTGTATGAGATAACATGTAATGTACAATATGGAACTGTTCAGGTAGGCAATATGATGTAGGAATTAAAAGCCCAGGATCTGGAGTCAGATTCCTCAGTTCAAGTCTGGGTTCCACAATTTAATAGCTGTGTCACCTTGAGCAAGTTACTTGATCACACAGTGTTCAGTTTTCTCATCTGTAAAATGCAAATAGTACCTACCTTGTAGGATCAATGTGTGGATGAAATGAGTTAAAACATGTGAAGAGGGCTTCCCTGGTGGCGCAGTGGTTGAGAATCTGCCTGCCAATGCAGGGGACATGGGTTTGAACCCTGGTCTGGGAAGATCCCACATGCCGCGGAGCAACTAAGCCCGTGAGCCACAACTACTGAGCCTGCGCGTCTGGAGCCTGTGCTCCACAACGGGAGAGGCCGTGACAGTGAGCGGCCCGCGCACCGTGATGAAGAGTGGCCTTCACTCGCCGCAACTGGAGAAAGCCCTCGCACAGAAACGAAGACCCAACACAGCCAAAAATAAAATAAATAAATTTATTAAAAAAAAAAAAAAAAAAAACATGTGAAGAAATAGATATAGAAAGTGAATATTACCTGTTTTGATAATTACTATTAGCAGTCATAATCTCATTGAGAATTTACTATGTGTCAAAACCCAAATTTATATTACCTCAGATAATCCTTAAAACAGCTCTGTAGACTAACCATAGTTGTTTTCCCTACCTCAGAAGGTTTTAGTAATGCCCTAAAATCACATAACTAGTAAGTGGTAGAAACTGGATTTAAATGCAGGTGTGTCTGAAGTATTCTCTCATAGAGAAATTTTTCATAAGAGAATTTGAAATATCCACATTCTCATTGTCATTAAAATTTCGAATATCTGATTTCTAGTCTTTTTAGTCATGCTCACAACCCTAGGACATTTTTCAAGAAACTAATTTAAATACGTGTGAATATCTAAGCAACAGTGTATTGGTCTGAGAGTCAGTGGTTTCTAAGGACTCTTACAGTCACTTTCAGTGATTCTACCGTGGTCCAGTTCACCAATTTTTGTGTTTCCTCCACTAGGATTTAGAAAAATCAGTTAATTAAATACAATTTAAAAGCTATAGGGTGGCAAATGATGACCAAAACAGATAATTTGCATTCCATGGGTTTGGTAAACATAATCTCATGAAAAGAATGGCTTTCTTTGCAAGATCAAAATGTAACCATTTTTTTTTTTTTTTTTTTTTTTTTCTTGCGTTATGCGGGCCTCTCACTGTTGTGGCCTCTCCCATTTGCGGAGCACAGGCTCCGGACGCGCAGGCTCAGTGGCCATGGCTCACGGGCCCAGCCGCTCCGCGGCATGTGGGATCTTCCCGAAACGGGGCACGAACCCACGTCTCCTGCATCGGCAGGCGGACTCTCAAGCACTGCGCCACCAGGGAAACCCAAAATGTAACCATTTCAAGATTCATTTTCAACTGTGTGTTGAAGTTACAGGCGCTCTAAACCTAACAGTGATTCTCTACCTGGTGTGGAAGTGTCCTGACACCACCAGTAGTAGAGACTCATCTATTGTAAAGTAACTGGTTGACTGAGTGCCCTGTGAGTGGCCAGTGTCCTTCTCATCACAGTGACAGACTTGAAACTTGAACCCTTTTCAGACACCCTAGCAGAAAAAACAGTAAAACTGAAAAGCAATCCATTTACAGATGTCAACCCAGCCACTATATTTGTGGGTATGATTTGCTATGCCATATTTCACAGATAATTTTTTATATCCTTGAGATTTGTTTTCACTGAAGTACACTATAAAAAGTACACTTTTACCTTTTGCCAGGTGAATAAATTGTGATATTTGGTACAGTGTACTGATTACTAGCATGGCTACAAATAGGCAGAATAGTGGTAATTTGTGCCCCATGCTTATTCAGGAAGCCGATTAGAATGTCAGCTATGATGGCATGGGTTTACACAGGATTCAAGTTGATGTTTGAAGATCATATTTTTCTCTTCAACAGGTTAATTATGTATGGCTTTGTGAAGGCTATGGTATATGCTGACCAGCTGAAAAATGGAGACTTTCATTTCACTGACTGTTTGTTTTTTGGTTCACTGATGTCTGCTACAGATCCAGGTAATTGCCCAAATGATATGTTTCCTTCTTTCTAAGAGTCAAACATTTAAATTGAATTTTTCTCTAATGACCATCACCCGAGTCTACGTAATAATATTCCTTATTCCTTTTCACTTGCAGTTGACATATCTGTTAGTGATTACAAAAAAAAAAAGAAAAGAAACAGGTGAATATTCTAACAGCTCTCAAAAAATAGTTCTGAAAGCAATTTCAGTAATGGGAAAGACTTTAAAATTCATTACTGTTTATTTCTGTAGAATATGTAGCCATTTTGAGCTGTGGTCCTTAATTTCTCTCTATTTAACTTTCTTCTTTCAAAAATGCTCCATTGGGGCTTCCCTGGTGGCGCAGTGGTTGAGAGTCCGCCTGCCAATGCAGGGGACACGGGTTCG